TAGACCTTTGAGTCAAAGGCTTTAGGTGGGGTATCTTAACCAAACCCACCTATTCGGCTTGAGTACCCGATAAGTCTCATTCACCCCTGTATTTCTTTGTTCACCGTCCTCACTTTTCCCTACTCATTTAATAATTTACAGCAGTCAACCAATCTTCCAGTCCCCTAACCATCGTTTCGTGTTTAAACTACCGCCCAGAAAAACACCTAAATATTCTCTCACCAAGCCCACTTAATTTCTGTATTCCCCGTTTAATTGTCTTCTTTCTCTGTCAATATATGTTGTGTGCCTGAGACGCAACCCTACTTCGTTCGTGAACCTCAAGCTGCATAGGACAAACTCAGAAGTTCCACATGCGCCTGCTGATCCAGACGCAATGGCTTGTGGTATCTAGGGTGTGGGAACTGAACTCCCACAATGCTGAAAGCGCTTTATTGGACTGAATCACAGTAAAGTAAGTAGTCTTTGCACCATACGATTGTCTCATTCAATTAAGGTCAATGCAGGTCGATGCGGCATACGCAAGGGCGGGCTTTGTCAAGATTTACCGCAGCTAATTCGATCAGCAAGTAGAACCGCTATAGCCATCCTGACAGGAAATATGAACCTTCACTAAGCCCAGATGAAGTATAACTAGGTGGTAGATTTGGAGCTCAGTATACGGATGAGGAGCGACTTCCTAAGTTGTGTGCTTAACACTGCCTGTTTCTGGTCAGTATGAACTTGCAGCATAAACACACACATCGACTCACTCGGGAGTTACCAACGCAAGACAGTCATAGACTCGAACGAACCGTGTAGATTTCGATCCAATTAAAGGTTATCGTTCCTTCCGGTGTGCGCAGCTTGAATCTGATCGTGCCATCGTGCGGGTCCGGTTATCACTTCGCTTTCCGTTAGCATTACACGCGCCAAAGCAGAGTAACTTTCTTCAACAACTTAGACTAGTTTAAGCATCTCAACGGTACCTGGCTAGAGGCCTATTCGGCCTGACCTTAGGCAACCTGGCAGTATTTCAGCTCTGGTGTTTCCTTCGGGTGGTATGGAAGCTATGCACCGAAAGGTCGTTAAAGCTGAGCGATTTTTCTTAGAAAGATAGTGTAAACATATCGTTGTGCTGAAGAGGATTGATTACAGGTTGAAAGAAACGGGTTGAAGAAGCTAATGCTCCCAGAAGTGTTTACTAGGCCATCCGACCAAACGTATTCGAGATCCCCAGATCTTATTGCCCCAAGAAAAGCCATACAGGCAACTAGTGATTATAATCCCTTATGTAAATCCTTCAAATACGGGGTAACCAAGAGCTTGAAAATGAAGAACGCTGATGGATTGTGAAGGTCAAAGAAGTGGAGAAGGCTTGTAGCCGGTTAAAAGAAGACAAGTGTCAGCAAAACTACATGAGAAAAAGATGGAACGGTCGAGCACTTTAAAGAGGTTTTCACCTGGCTTCCTTCAACGTATCCTCTAGAAGAACCCAACAAACCTTGGCGGAAAACTCAAAATACCCGTCATCAACAACGGAAATCCAACAGGAGATGTCGGTATTCGGTGCGTTAAAGAGGTTTTCACCTGGCTTCCTTCAACGTATCCTCTAGAAGAACCCAACAAACCTTGGCGGAAAACTCAAAATACCCGTCATCAACAACGGAAATCCAACAGGAGATGTCGGTCCTTCGGTGTGAACAGGAACCTAGGTCAAATGGTGTGCATCTCATTCTTCAAAAATGGTGAAGGCCTGGTGAACAATCTGACGACCATACTTCAAAAGATTTGAAACGTAAATAGAATACCAGAGGAAAGGAGCGCCTTTACAGTGATTCCAGTCTTCAAAAAGGGCACACGGACGTCATGCAAAAACCACCGTGGCATTAGCCTGGTATCTATCGCAGTTTAGGTGCTCTCTGGAGTTATTTTACGCAGGCTGATCGATTATCGGACAAAATTGAGAATCAAACTGGATTTCGCCCTGGCCAAGAACACATCGACAATATCCTTATTAAACAATGCCGCTCCTTCAAACATTTCACGCTGACCGTTTTTCTTTATCTAAAAATATCTCTCCACTCTGTCGGTCGTCAGAAACTTCGGCAATGTCTGGTGATCAGATTTACGCTTATACACTTTGTGAAATCGAAATCCTGTAGACGGGTGCGAGTATACAGCAAGCTCTTGCCTGAGTTCACCACGTCTAGTGGTGTAAGACAAGGCCACCCACTCTCATCATTCCTCTTCGAATTTGTTTGCGATGTGCTACTTAAAATTTCCGTGCTTGTCTCTGAAACCTCGGAGGTCAAAATGCATTCGGCGCGTCTCCTCAAAGACGGAGTATGAGGATGACATTGATCTCCCTCCTTCAGGAATATAAACCATTTTAAATAACCCAAATAATTCTGCGCATCACACCTACAAAGTGTAAACTGATGCTACAAGATTAGGAGGGATTCTAGTCCAAACCTCATGCTTGTAGAGGAACCGATCGAAGAGGCAGATAAGTTTGTTCACATGAGCAGTTGCATAACCAGAGATACACTGATTGGAGACGATATCACTACTCAATTTTGCCAACGCTGCGCTGGTGCGAGTTATAGCGCTTTGTAGGTCACAAATGTGGCCCATAGGCTCAAAGGACGTGCAAAAACTGGCAGCATTTGATCATCGGCATCTCGAAGTATCCAACTGATCTGATGAGAACGTCTGGCCTTAGGGAGAAAGAGCTCTTCAGCACTGAATGAGATATTCACAGTTGATAGGTTACGCTAGTTATGACATGTACTCCACACGTTTGGAGACCGTCCACCTACGCAACCCTCTGCTGAATGGGAACGATTGAGAGGTGGACGGTTTATGATCTAGCAACGAAGTATCAAAACACTAACCAGCAAACTCGGTCGGGTCGACAACTTCAGCCTCCCTGGATGGGTGCCCCGGGAATCAGCTCACCAATGGGTGATGACACTGACAGACAGGGTGCAATCACTCAGTCAGTGGCGCTGGTTCATCAAGACTTCCAACGCGTAGCTACCTAGTTCACGAAGTAACTGGACATGCCATCGCCTGAAATGTTTGGCTTTATCTCCCATTCATCGGTGATCGCAACCATAGCAGCCGGGACCAACGTACGCTCGGTACACGGTTTTAAGTTCGGACAGCGAAATGCCCAACCGAGTGTCCTAGTTAAAGGGCAGGTCCGGTAAGCGGTGGGTTGTTTGTTCGGATCCATACCTTTCCAAATGTTCAACGTAGATGTACTGGAGGCTGTTTGTATTGGAAGTAGGCGCGGGCTTAGGTGTACGAAAAGTCAATGAAATAATGGCACAGGGGAGCGTCTTTTCACTTGATTCTAAAGGTAAGGTCGCTTCTCCAAGACTAAGGGAGTGCGTTTGCTGGTATCAGCAGTACGGTGCTATTACCGCTTCCTCCTAAATAAGATAATCACTTGGTTCCGGTTCGGTTTGTCCAACTGAGCCCAAAATGTAAGCTTGGGTGGCCAAAATTCCTGGTTACTGAAGAGACACGCAAGTATTCTCCGGGAGACTATATCCCTATCTTTTCGTTAGCTTGTGTGTTGAGTATGTTCACCTCTAGTATCTCCATCCAATGTAAATATGTGCACAGCATTGTGGGTGTGGTAGTCTTGATCCACATTTGATTACACTGGTCGAGTTAATGCACCAGTCCCATCATTCAAGAGGAATTTTTCTTCACTCAAGAAAGGCGAAAAAACATTCGCTCCTGCTTGTCCACGTTGCAACGGTCGGCAATTATAAGTCCCCTAACCGTTATCTCGGGGTTACAGACGCCCGCTTGATGGCTTCCGATATGACGCTGAAAGTTCACTGTAATACGTGTGTAACTTTACCTTGCACTGAGTGAATTTTAGATTTATCTGCCTTGCTGTATTCGTAAATAAACGTAAACAATTATTTTATACTCTTCATCTCTCACCAAATAAGGATCTAACCATTCATAGATTTACAGGCTGTCTTAGATTCCAGTCCTCACAGCATCTGTTTCATTAAGTACCACGGAAGACCATAGGTTTTTGGATATTGTATGCTCACTGGAAACTCAAACGGACCAAAAGGGAAGGGATGCCGGTGTTTACGCATCAATTGAGACTCATGAAAGCTGTCGGAATTCACTCATCTTAATCAGCTACATAATGACCCGGAAAGGTTCTGAGTTCATGGAGATCATTTCTTCCTGGTGCCATCCTAATCTGTACGAAGTAGATGAATAACATTGTTCCCAACGGTAATTAAGATCAATCCTTCTGACGACTGTGACTTCCACGCAAAAAGCGCAAACGTTACGCCATCAGAATAGGTAAAATTATTCTGGATTGTCAACAAGTTCATCTATTTAGAGATGGCTCAGTGTTAGAGAATGAACTTACTACCGGAAGGTCCGTGGTTAGAACCCGACCTCAGCATTTTGATCACTATAGTCTGGACCTGGTCAACCTGGAAGCAACTCAGACCCCGCGCGATCCTGGAGGTTCATGACAGCTATTCACAGTAAGGGTGCAACAGCGGGATGATTTCTTATTAAACTCATTAATAGACCATACGGCTAGGTCATTTTCGTTGAACGTCGAGAGAACTATCTGCACATCAAAAACCGTTTACGAACTTCCGATTCAATTGGAATGTAAATTACTCAGCCAAAGGCAGTTACGAACCATCTACCACGGTTGGGATAAGAGGATATCCATCACCGATAGTTATGGACAAATTCCAGTGAGGCAGCAGATGGCAGCCAATGAAGCTGAAAATAAAAGATGGTCGACCATTTCTGAAGAAACTCGCTTTTGAATCTAGTTTAAACTGTTCATTCATTTTGTTATCTACCACTTTTGTTTTTGTTTATGGAAATCCACAACAGATTGACGGCAGGGGCTAAAGGGACAGTTCAAGGGTAGAAATATGGGCGTTGATGATAGCTTCTTAACTAGGAATGCTCACATCACCAGTGTGCAGTGTTCGTCAAAGCAAACTCACCTTCGGGAGACATCCAAGCCGGGTTGTATTCGCGTGCCTTCTCATGGAACGAAAATTTGTAGTCGGCCATGTCCAGTCGCGCGACCAAAAATTCATCACGATAAGCCTGGGAATCACCAGCATTCTCCTTTCCATCAAAATCCACAAGGCCCACTTTAGCGATATCTTCGTCAACCTGGGAAGGATAAACGTAATCTGGAAAGTGCCACAGTAGTACTACAATAGTACAAACAGTAAAAATAGGAGACTATTTTCACTATTTCCTGTAGATAAACTAACCTCGTCAAACTCACCGAAATAAGGTCCTCTAAACAATTTCAAAACTCCTCAAATAAAAACTGACCATGGACCTCGGGGTCAGTAGGCTCACGCCTCAACGAATGAGCTACCTCGGGCTCAAGTGATCTTTAAGTGGACGTCTAAGGTGTACCATGCATTCTTGAATACGTAGGATGGATCGTTTTCATGTACTTCTACTGACATTTTTTGCAGAATCGCAAATACGCACTTTTCGTGCTAAGCGAGGTTGTTCAACTGTGGGACAAACTGTGGGACTTAAACTTCACCTTGTTAGTAGAACAGCTTTGGTTCCGTTCATCAAGTGATAATTATCTATCGTGGTGTACTGATACCTCAGTTTGTTGTTTGAACAAAGGGTGCATTGAACGCTTCCAGGGACGGGATACACGTGGCTTGGCGCACACCTAGCTTGTCCATGTATAACCAAAGTTCACATAATGTGTCGTTTCTGAAAAGTGACGGGTAAGCCTTGTGCTGTGAATAGTAGTGTTAACATTGTATTGTGACATTATTATTAGCTACTCTATTGGAATCTACAGTGCAGGTGGAGACGATGGAAGAGCGCCTCTTTTAAGGAAGAGTGTGTACATCTTTGTAAGCTCCCGTCGCTTACTGGCGCCCGTTTTACAGTACCACATTCAAGGTAAAAATAATGACTGCAAACTAAGTAAGGCTTACTGGAACACGAAGAACGAATAGATGAAACCGAGAGATAACGCGAACAGAAGCTATCCAATCTATCTCCAAGCGAAAGCCGAAACTATATTGATGCTGGGTGACAAACTCAGTCAAGCAAACCCGAATAGCTGATTTAATACTGTCCCACAAATTCTAACAGTTATGGGAGGATAAGCATTTTCGATTCCTTGAACAACTCAGGAGAACACAGAATGGCCAGTGCGGATGAGTTCATCACAAACAGTCTTGAGAACAGGCCGAATCCGAGCAATCAACCAGGAATAGGAGAATAAGAACTAAAATCACGGCATGGAGCAGGATAGTCGTGGACTCACACTGTCGCAAGATGTCACCCAACTGAGAGAAAAGGGGAGCTAAACGCCCGCCAACACACCAAAGACTAGGTTGGAACACGTACCCAGATAGGCTAATAGATGACAGGAAAAAATTTGATACTCTCCGTCTCAACCCGCCTAGTAATTGCGGTTTCCATACAGATACTGGTCACTGTTTGATCCACCAACAAACAAGCTGAGCACCATTTGTTGGCAACATCAGTATGAGACTGCTTTGAAGCCATCTCATCGTATCACAGAAGGCAGCTATGGAAAAAAAATTAACAGAAACAAAAATGTTCATCACAGACACAACTCCTGTAGTCGCATAAGCCCAAGTCTAGCAGATACATTGCCACTCATTCCAATTATTCACCTAACTCGCTCACCATTGGCAGTACAATCGTTAATTCATTCAGCCCCTTAAAAGCCAGTCGAACAATGTACAACGTCCATCTGGATCAGAATATGAAACGTTTCGAAAAAGGATTAGATTTAAGGAAAGGGTACTAAATGGCCTGATGGTCCACAAAGTCTCTGATTTACGGAAATATTTTCTTTGAACTTTATCACTTAACGAGAGAGACGCTGCATTCGACCTCGATTTATAGCTAACACATGTTTGCTCAAGTTTTACAGAAAATTAAATGCGGTGATAACACTTAGTCTTCCAGTGTGACGTCACAGAACAGTCCAGTAGTCGGGGTGGAGAGTTTGTCGATCAACCTCAAGTGGCGCTCTATCTATCGAGGATCGGTGTGCAAACTGATGCCCCACCATTGTGGTTATTCTGGACGTTCGATCTGCCTTCGATTCTGCTGACAGAGTAATATCTGGTATTACTTGACCTAAAAGCGTCCTATATGTCCAACATATGTTCTTAAGTTATTTGAGTCCGGGGTACCGTTACATTCCCCAAACCACATCCAACTAATGGCTGCTCTCCAGTTCTGTTTAACTCCATGAGCGAGAATAATCGTAAAACTGTTCCGTCATGAAGCACAAACAGTGGTGTGGTGACTCGTTTTGTAGATTACAAATCAAAAGGGGAATCATTGTTTAGGCAAAGTATGAGCAAATTTTGAGGGGATTTTCGCGGAGCTTGCAGGTGAAGCGACAACACGCGAATGTGCGTTCTGTGTATGTTCTACGGAGTAGAACATTGCCTCTATCAGGTGTACTATGCCTCTATCCAGTGTATCTGGTGTTTTCAAACGCTTCCAGAACTCGAGATAGCTTGCTAGTTTAAGAGCAAACTTAATGATCGGAAGGCGTGACTAGAACCTGACCTTTGCATGTCGACCCCTACTGTCTAGGCTTGAACCACGTGGCAGTATCTCAGCCCTCGTGTATTCTTCTGGTGGCATGGCAGATATACACCGAAAGCGTGTCACAGTCCATACACATAGGTGAAAAGAAACCAACAGCTGTAAAGCTGAGCGTACACTAATTACTGCTTCACGACGAAATAGTGACATGTCAGTCACCAATTCGCACTGGACACGCGCGCGTGTGTTGCAAGAATAGTCGTTGAATATGCTTGGAAAAATCGCACTCACTTGTTGAGGTGCACTTCTTTTCGACTCAGTGAACCTTTGTCCATCGTTTTAGATTCGCCTTACTTTAGGCCAACTACAATCGTGGGCACACCCAAGATGTTTGGAATAGGTGAGGCATTGTTTCGCCTTTGAAACATTCCTTCCCGGAGACTAAGTAAGCGAAACCGGTGCAAGTATTGAGAATGCGTTTGTCCTGTAGTCACAAAGCAGGACTTAGCCTATCGACAGGTGTTTAAAGCCAAAATGAGACAAAAGCTTATCAACTCGAGTTATGTTCATTCAATTCTAGACGATGAGAAACGGAGCGTGTCAATAACAAATTAGAAGACTGTGTATATGTCTTTGAAATCGAATGGTTTATAGATATATATATATATATATATATACCACCAATTACTAGTATCACATTGCAGAGAGAGGTGATGAGTTTTGAACAGTTTGTTGAGGGCCCCAATCAAGTAAAGGTAATCATAATCCTTTAGCTGTAACAACCCTTCGGTGCCTAGCTGCCATGGCACCTGAAGGAAGCACGAGGGCTGGAATACTGCCAAGATGCCCAAACCTATACAGGGGAAATCGTGGGTTCGAACCACGGTCAGTAAATTCGCGCTCTAACTACAGAGGCATCTCGGCCCACTCAAGTGGCCTTAAAAGTAGTAGCAGAAAAACTCCCTGGTTCGCAGTTCCCAAGATACGAAAACAAACCTCGAAAGTTCGTTGTCCGTCTTTGCGTGATGCAGGTTATTAACGACAGGGGGAGTGCAGCACTTACCATGACGTGCTTTGAGTTGAGCCGAAAATTCGGAACCTTAAGTTCGGGACTATGCAGATACTCCATAGCCTTAGCGATATCGACCGCAAAACGTAAAGCTTGTCGTTGACTGATTTCCACGCCCATCACGGTCCCGTCCACATTGGGTTCATTAGGTTGATGCAGCACGTCGTACAGACTACCATACTGCATGTAATCACTGACTAGGCACAGTCTTGGAGTAGCAGTGAATATGGCAAGCACGGGAAGAATATTGGGATGATTGAAAATGCGAAGGCGGGGAAATTCCTCTTTGAAGTCTCTGGCCTGTGGTGGAGAAGCGGAATTGACTAGGATAGCTTTGCTAACTAAAGACATAAAAAAGGTTTTGACATAGAAGAAGGAACCTAAGGCAATTACACTTTTTTTCGAATTATTAAACGGGACGAGTGAGTCTAGTCATCAGTCAACAGTCTACAGATAACGAATGATTTATGAATAATATCAACCAGCTGGATGTGCCTTGAAACAGTCGGCTGGATCGTACGAAAAATATCGAGCATCACACGAGATTTATGACTGTCAGGGCTTGATCAAGGGTGAACATCGATCAGGAGAAGAATGGAATTGAAAAGAATGTAAAGCCTACTCTTCCAACTGGCCGAACTACCCCCTCAACACACTGCACCACAAGGAGATATTCCATTGTTCTTGGCAGTGTTCCAGAGAGAAGACTGTGAAGTGTACCATTCACTCGAATGAGAAGTATATCCAAGTTGAAGTCTGTGCAACATCACATAAGAGACGAAAGCCAGACAGAGATGGTGAAACACACGGCAGTCGTATTCTTAACCACAATCAGAAAAGCCTCGCTAAATTGTGGACCTTTAATGAGCCAGCTCACAGTTTGTCTCCCTATCCGACCGAACAAGTCCGGGTTCAGGCAAGGGGACGTTTTTTTGAAAATCAAGTACTGAATCTAGAGACTAAGGATACGACTGAACTTGGAGTTCAAACAACTGACAAAAAGATTGGAGGTATGCTGAGGGTTTATAGTAATTCTAACCAGCATGCACCGTGCATTTGTTAACCGGAAGCCTGTTTCGACTTCTGCTCACACTTCGAATCATACCCTATGGTAACCGGTTGAACTAGATACAGTAATCCGCAAAAATACACTGATTAAGGTTGAAATACAGATAAGATATTGGAGTAAAATCCGTTATTCTAGTAGTATAGCACTGAGTAATAGCCACCGATGCCGTTCGCCGGTTTCCCTCAAGTAGAGGAATTAATATTCGATTGGTTGCTAATTGTGACTACTGGATCTAGTAGAAGTAGTTAAATCCGGAGGCAATTTGTACGTCGGCCAAGCGTTGGGTGCAGTGCAGACTATGGAGGGAAGACATGTGGGGTAATTGTTGCTCTATCAGGAATAAGGATGCTGAAAAGTTTTTGCAGTTTTTTCCATAACAACTAACCTATGAGACGCCGGCCTCTTAAATCACGGCTTCCATTTCCATGATGTCCAATATTTGTTTTTCAAATTATCCGGGTCAACATAGTGACGCACCTAGCATATTTATCCTCGAGACACGGTCAAAGGCACGCCAAAAGTACGAGGCAGCTCGCATCATTCATTATACGGAGAAACGAGTGGGTAATTTTGAGAACAAACAGTTCCACTGAAATCGGTGAATGAAGCAGGACCAAGTGTCGTCGTAGAAGCAAGATGATGCCAAGAATCTTTCTATTGTTAGTTAATTCTGTGTAACAGTTTGAGAAAAGTAAGTGATAGTCTGAACGAACATTTTAAACTGGCGCCACTCTTCCCACTTATTGTGCTTTCTTTAGCCGACATTTGTTTTTGTCAGCCCTGATATTGCAGATCAGGAACTTTGAAACGTACTGCCCGCTCGGTGCAACCGTTTTCCTCGTTTCAGTTGGGGACATAGATCGCCGTCAGATCAAACTGAAATTAGGTTGCGGCCCCGTTTTGGGATGCGCTCGACCAAACGCCGAACTCACAGAGTTTCGGATTTCGAACCAGCCCTCATTTGGCCGACCGGTTTGTTTGGCGTCCGTGTGCTGTCCAGAAAGCTTCCGCTTATAAACCGAATCTTGTAGGCAGTGAATGGCATAGTGGTGAATGGTGTTCTCCTTAGTAGCTAGGAAAGGAGCTGAATTTCAGCCGTAGCACCCTTTCAGTGTCCAGCTGTCATGTCACCCGAAAGAAACATGAGGGCTGAGATAATTTCAGGCCGCCCAAGTCTAGAAGGGAGCAGTAGAGATGCAGAGGTCGGATTCGAACCAGGGACCTTTTGGTCAATAATTTGGCGCTGGGCCATCTCGAGTTCACACAAGCTGCAACACGGCCACAAATCAGGGTATGATTTGACCCCATACACGTGTTCCAAAAGAGCTACAGTTGTGAACACATTATCGATATCTATAGCTAATTGCTATATGATTGCAAGACTGGTTACGGTTCGGAGGGAGCCAGTTAACGCTACGCTCATCTTTGAGCTGCAATTATGTTCGCGATAAATAGATGGTGATAAGCGTACAGTTGTAAGAAGAGATCGCCACTGTCAATTATGGGAGCATCAACATTAAGCCGTCTGTCGATGTGACCCTCATTCGTGTCGATTATTCCAGGCTTGGTATTAAAATCGCCAACTACAAGTGATAACCATGCATTTGGTCATCCTCAGGATTGTCGAAAGTGCTTCATAAAAGGCCTGTTTGAGCGTCATTATTGCAATTTGTTAGGACGCGTGCGGAGATAAGGAACAAATTTCGGGTTAGCGATCGTCGGTTGCGGATTCTGAGAGACCTGGTCTGCCTGGTTGCAGTCGACCGTTAAAAAGAATCCAGTCAAGCGGAGCGTCTTCAGCTTTCGTGGTCAGCGCAATACACAAACCATTGAGTCCATACCCATTCTGGACCACCCGACACCCGGATAGTAAACTGAGGTGTCTTGGACCTGGTCCAAATACATTACTGTAATGTTTTGTATACGTGCTTCGGAAACGGAACAGCCAGAGATTTTTCTAGGAGAAAAGAGTATCAGCAAGGTAGGTCTGTTGACCCATCTGACAAGGCGCGTGGATATTAAACGCCGCTGCGATGAACAGATGCCTCGGTGTTAGTAGTGCGTGTTTAGGCTTTATTTCTCTGGGCAGACAGCTAAGAATCGACGCTCGATTTATGGACCTACCAAACAGGCGGCGTTATGTTGGCACGAGCAGTAATTAAAATTAGAGCTAATAAATTAGACACTAGTCGTTGCTTTTGATCTGCGTGGGCAGCTGCTACTTCCGGTTGCCCAGGTGTCTTGGACCTGGTCCAAATACATTACTGTAATGTTTTGTATACGTGCTTCGGAAACGGAACAGCCAGAGATTTTTCTAGGAGAAAAGAGTATCAGCAAGGTAGGTCTGTTGACCCATCTGACAAGGCGCGTGGATATTAAACGCCGCTGCGATGAACAGATGCCTCGGTGTTAGTAGTGCGTGTTTAGGCTTTATTTCTCTGGGCAGACAGCTAAGAATCGACGCTCGATTTATGGACCTACCAAACAGGCGGCGTTATGTTGGCACGAGCAGTAATTAAAATTAGAGCTAATAAATTAGACACTAGTCGTTGCTTTTGATCTGCGTGGGCAGCTGCTACTTCCCGGTTGCCCAAGTCGAAGAAGGGGGTTGTTTGAGGTATCTTATCTTAAGCCTTTGATTCAAAAGACTGACCAAAAGGACAATGGTAGAAGGTGGGGTTTTGTTCCAAAAGATTGTCTCGGACTCAGGAGTCTGACTCGTATGGCAGCGGATAGTAGGGTTCCTTTGAAGGACTCTGCCTTCAGGCAATGACCAATCGGTCTGGCCAGCTTGGCCGCACGAGGGTGCATGGAGTAAGGCGTAACTGTTCGACTCCTGATGCTACTGCGCACATTAGTAGCCCTCTGAACAGCTCCAGGCTTCTTGGTTGTAGGGGCATTTCGACCGCACTGGACGATGCACAGGTGGTGGCAGTGGGTGGATGATCCGAGTGTGCAGAATTAGGGCCAACCGTTCCCAACCCATCATTTTTCGAGAGAGGACAGCACCGCTGCTTCCATAGATAAGTACATGTCGGTCTCCTGGAAGTGACACCTCACTAACTTCATACCCTATGAAAGAAGAAAGTACAGCTTCACCCTCAGATCGTCACGTACTACGATTACACATGGTAAGGGCTTGCTGATTTTTGTCTAGTTGTTCCCCCCTGGTCTCACTGGCAGCGTTAAAGCTTGAGGAACAAATTTTCAAACAGTTTTGCCCACGTGATCATCACACTATTCAAAACCGATCACCAATTCGTGGTAGTCATTTTGATTTCCTCCACCAGTGATTAACCATATAAGCGACCTCTACGATGAAGGAATTCATCCCCGAGTATCATCAACATCACGTTCCTGTAGAAATAAAGATGCGGCTATAAATAAGATCCGAACGTAAAGAGTAATCAGGATGTGGACATGCTTAAAAAACGCAGTTGGAGACCTGGGTGTAATGGTGCGTCCGAAAAAAACTCGAAATGGACCTAAAACGTTGGTAAACGAACATATGCTCACAAAGGCAAAACGCCTCTCTTCAGACATGCAAAAATATTGTGAGAAACTCACTTGCCGAATCGTGCAATTGCGTAATTTCAGCATTTTAACTACAACAGGGCAACGACGGAAGGAACCTTTCAGTACTTCAGCACCATGTCCATCTGCAAGCGCCCCTGTCAGTTCAACTTCTCGTGGATCCCACGACTCCCCATCTAACCGATAAAGGGTAGCATCGCGCGCCCTCGTCTTTGTTCCAATCCAGCTGGTATCCCGAAAAGGTTTGCGGCGAGACAAGTCATGACCGAGTGCTTCTGCTAATGGGGCCAACAGTGCTGCCGCACGTGGGCGGGCTATTTCCAATGGAGTTTCACCATACTTATTTTCCTGCATCAAACTGGCACCGTTTTTAATTAGATGCTGAGAGACGGGGAAAAGAACAGAGAAGACATAACAAAATCGACAACCTCAGTGAAACTCGAGTAAGCATGTTGAGGAATCAAACTGGATCTATCTCAAAAAGAAAAGGTTTGACAAGCTAATATAGGGACAAGTAGTGCGCATCTAGGTGCATATAGGGTTTTTGCCATCCTCCGCAGAATGAAATGAAATAAGAATTCCAGAAGCAATTAATGGAATATCAAGTACAGTTTGGATAACGCACAACGGATGTTCACAAATTGCGACAGATAGACCACAGTTATCGCATTAACCTGGTCACATCTCGATGAAGGCAATCGGAAAACCTTAGGTTTCTAGGAGCTAGCCAACGGCAAATAGACTAGCGCATTTGAACCTATTCGTGCGATAGACGGTGTGTTCATACATGACATTCACAGGCCCTACTTCAATTTTTTCGACTATGGATGAAATCAAAACATTTCGTTACCTCAGAGATTTCCAAATGATTCCAAAAGCACGCGTAGTGTAACGGCGTGTTACCATGCTCATTCGCCACATCAACATTGAAGCGATGGCACTTAAGCAAAAAGTGCACCACATCGATGTGTCCATGAGAAGCGGCTAAATGCAAAGCCGTGTCATCTCCCATGTTGGTCGCGTTCACACGCGCCCCACGCATTACCAGCAAATCCACCACCGCCAGACGACCTTCACGAGCGGCCCAATGAAGCAAACTGAATCGATGCTCGTCACCCTGATTCACATCGTTTTCAATGTCGTCCAACCACAGACGAACTTCTTGTAGGTTACCTTCACGCACATGAGCAATTACCGTTTCCATAGCTCCGCATTGAAGGGCTTTAACGTGAGAAAGCATAGTATAAGTAAGTTTGGAATCACACAGCAGAACGCAGAAACAGAGAAGAATTGCCATGTTGTATTTACAGTCAGTAAGTTATATGCAGTACAAATTAGCGTTTTTTATACACACATGGATTCAGTTTGAGTACGGGCATATGGGACACGGGAGTATGCGTGCAATCCTCTGTTTTCCTCAGTCGAGCTCGGACGAAGTAGGTGTCTTCTGTCGTCTCCGAGAATTCACATTGGAAGCCGAAGCGCTTGAGTTTCTTGAGAAAGGCCGGAAAAGCTCCTTCAAAGCGACTGGCAACGTCAACAATCAGCAATTCACCGCTGCAAAAGGAAGTGCGAAGACTTTGGGACTGAAAAAAAAACTTGAGAGTGCGAAGACTTTGGGACTGAAAAAAAACCTAAACGGGCAGAAATAGCTTTTGTGAGGCCATTTAGAAAAGTATACATGTTTCTAAGTACACACAGCTGTTTGGATGAGGCTGTCGTCATACCGCGAAGAAAGTGGAGCTTATGATAGGAACCTAGTTATCAATCAGGGGACATACAAACTTAGACCAAGTGAAGCGGTTGAATTACAAGTCATCTCATCGGGAGATATCCGACAGAAGAAACGTGATACCGAAAAAATGGATGTGCTGCTCATGGTTACTTCCAGAATACAGACGATAGATATGCTGCTGTTCGGGGGCCAGCCGTCCCTAATAACCGAACATCACATCATTTGGGCGCATGTGTCACGTGCAGTACACGGGCCAGACGTAGGCATGCCCTGATTGGTCAGAATGCCAGCCAATCCGAGCCGAGCACCTGGACTCGACGGTTCTCGCCCCCTCACGGACATTCTGGCACGACCTTGTGGAACACTCTGTGACTACCCTATATATATACAGTTGTAATGATTTTCCTTTGTCTCCATAAAGGGCTGTGTAGAGCTACCGTTCCTTTTGATATCCCATAGTGGGCGGAGCAGGAAGCCAAGGGACCGACACAGAGTTGCACGACCGTACATCAAGACATAACAGCTGCCAAGATCGCTTCCTCAAATAGGGAGTTCACATAACTAACAGTGAACTGCACGAGCAATCTAAATGGACGCCCCAATGGATTATACGATATGCAAAAATTTCAGACGCATTGAGTTACAGATTTGCTAGTTCAAAGACTCAAAGACAACGAAGGAATAGAAATATTCTCAGCCGTAGTACGAGTGTAACCGTGGATGCCACTGATGAGGCATGCAAGTAGTATGTGGTTTCCTGTAATTCCGCCTTGATCTAATGGAAGGTGGGATTTATTACGGAATTCGGGGAATTGCTTTGCAGCATTCGTTTACATTTGCGTGGGAGTCAATGATTATCCAGGAAAGTTCAAGAGGCTTTCAAGAAGAAGACGGATATTCAGTTTTTAAAAACAAGGCACATATGATAATTTCGCTATCCTGTCCAATAGTCTGTAACTGTTCAGTTGGTATTTTTCTAATAAACAACTCCGGAGCGAATGGCTTCTCCCTTTCCCGAGTACCCTTCCTTCTGGAGTACCGAGCTCAATTCCGACCATTCCATTATGCGTGCCTGCACGCGACTTTATTTCTCTTCATTGTCATATGGTTTTGTGTGGGTCTTCCGATGCAGAAATTTCCGTCACCATCGACAGTAACGTCGGTGTGGTAACACCGGGAAATAGCACTGGCAATACGACATCAAGTTAAACTGGTTCAACAAGGATTATGTGAAACGACTACATACAACGAATCATCTGACTACTCATGAGTAGCCAAATGGCTTACGTAACACAACACTTGACCAGCTGAAAGACCGTTTGCCCCAAGTTAGTTGGAACGGACAGACTGGGGATGACGGGTTACCAGACATATGCAAAATACACGGGTGGAATTAGGATTACAGCTTCTGAGGTCTTTTGCCATAAAGTTTCGTTTTGACGGAACAAATACTGGGTACCGTCACAGCCAGTCTCCCTTGCAGCTGCTCAATCAGTCAAAAGCCTGCAGCGCTGGCGAGCTGCATGTAATAAGCTTATCAATAAAGAACAATGTCTCGAAAAATGGTGGAAAATAAGTGGGCTCCAGTGAAGTTGATTATCTCTGAAATGTTGTCTGGAGTGACAGACTGAACGCTTGAATGTAACGTGATATCAGCTGCCAATAACCAATTCAGCGCAAAATTTCAACTATCGAACGCAACAAATNATCGACACAACTTTAATGCTTGTCGGTTCTTCCCACTCTGGTTTTCAAATCGCGGGCTACAAGAGTAATATCCGTGTACTCTGAAATTAGGACCAACTTGGAACGTTGATCGTAAGCGGGGCCCAGATTTTAGGACAGGTTTTGGGACATATACAGAGTGAAAGAAAAGATTTAGAGTTCCGGACCAATTACTTCAACAGACCCTGTAGCTATTCGCAGGAACACAGGCAAACAGAGCACCGTCAACCGTCATACTGGAAATGGCAATGAAACAGTAGGGCGCAGCCTCTAGATCATCCGACGGTCGGGAAGCAAAATGTGATAGAGCTGAGCCATCCTGGACGGCGTTTAAATATATCACCACAGTAGTCCTGTAAGTGCTTTTTTGGAGACGCAGCACAAATGGAGGTAAGAGTATGAGCAAGAAAAATTGGTTATGTTGGTGATAGTAGAGCATGATTAGAGTTTTCCGGATAGCTAGAGATGAAAGTTGATGAACGTGGTGGCAGGGTTAAGTATGGTATATGGAAGGGACTTAACGCTGCTTCTACGATGCGCAGGCAGATGTCACTTACGGGTTGCACAGATGGCGAAAGAAGGATCGCCTGTGCGATCAAAGTGTGTATGTTTTAGAACCGACATTTTTAATATGTCCCTACTTAGGGGAAAGCAGATTGCCGCCTCCATAAAGCATGGACATGCTAGTCTCCTCAAATGAAAACCTTAAGGCGCTCACACTTATCGCCGAGGACGTACAACTTTACTCTCACATTACCTCGAGATATGATGTGGGGGTGAAGGTGCCCATTTCTTTTCCTCTGGTAGCGCTCCTCCAACCTTCCTGGCATGGTTACAGCTGCAAGGGCTAAGTTCCAGTCAGCCTAGCCTGGGATAATATTACAACATGGGTTCTGAAGTTGAATTTGCTTATTGCCCCACTCAGGGAGTTCTCTCCTACGTTTTGCACCCCCTCAGAAGTCACTCACAAGAGCAAGGTGTACCTCACGCACTGGGTACAACTTTTACGTACCAAATTCTGTGATCCATTAATTGGCACATTCTACAGTTGCTCTGACTGCTCTGTGTAATCGTCTCGCGTAAAGCGTTCACTGATGTGTAATTCAGAAAAATCTCGTTGAAGTGGAATGAATAAATTTATCCTCTTCATGCAAGAACGTTTTGCACTTACGCGCTGAAAATCCATCTTGTGGTACATAACTTATGGTACTTGACTTGACTTGAAGCCGGGGTCTCAACAACCAACGTTCTAAAAAATGCACGAGCGCTTACTTGCGTTTCAACACCCGGTTGGCCTCGTATATGAAATCCCGACAATTGGTGCCCATAAGTGATAGACAAAAGACCACAAAGTGCAGGTGGGCCGAATTGAGCGGAGTCTGAAATAGTTGTACACCACAATGAAAACCAACAAGGCGATCAGAAACGCAAGCTAAAACACTTCCTGTCTGTTAGATTCTCGGAAAACCTTACAAATNCTTATCGCCGAGGACGTACAACTTTACTCTCACATTACCACGAGGTAAAATGTGGGGGTGAAGGTGCCCGTTTCTTTCCCCTGGTAGCGCTCCTACAACCTTCCTGGCATGGTTACAGCTTCAGGAGCTAAGTTCCAGCCAGCCTAGCCTGGGATAAGATTGCAACATGAGTTCTGAAATTAAATTTGCTTATTGCCCCACTCAAGGAGTTCTCTCCTACGTTTTGCACCCTCATAGAAGTCACTCACAAGAGCAAGGTGTACCTCACACACTGGTACAATTTTTACGTATCAAATTCTGTGATCCATTAATTGGCACATTTTACAGTTTGGCTGCTCTGTGTAATTCAGAAAAATCTCGTTGAAGTGAAATGAATAATTTTATCCCCTTCATGCAAAAACGTTTCGCACTTGCGCGTTGAAAATCCATCTTGTGGTACGTAACTTATAGTACTTGACTTGACTCGAAGTCGAGGTCTCAACAATCAACGTTCTAAAAAACACACGAGCGCTTACTTGCGTTTCAACAGGCGGTTGGCCTCGTATATGAAATCCCGACAATTGGTGCCCATAAGTGATAGACAAAAGACCACAAAGTGCAGGTGGGCCGAATTGAGCGGCGTCTGAAATAGTTGCAGACCAAAAATGCTATCAGAAATGCAAGCCAAAACACTTCCTGACTGTTAGATTCTCGGAAAACCTTACAAATTAGATGATCGGACTAAATAGTATTGTTGTGAGCGGTCGAATAGCCCATTTATTGCGGATGGCATCCACAGACACATTGTCTCATTAGAGAGGAAGTATTTGTATTCAGTATGTTTGGGGTGTTGCTAAACGAATAACTGAGCTTCGCCTTCAGTGAGAAGATTTGTTGATTGGTTAAAGGGTAGCT